CAGCCAGCCATGCTGGCTGGGGAATTCTGGGAGTTGAAGTCCACTCATCTTAAAGTGGCCAAGTTTGGAGAACACTGCCTTAAGAGAAGAACATTGTATTTATGAGCTATGGTGGTAGCATGGTGTTTTGTTTCTCCCTTCCTCCTCCTATGACCAAAAGCACAATTGTGATCACTGCTGAATTGGTATGGAGGCACATAGTCAGAAGTTACTTCTGGTATGCATTCTACCAGTGGGATACAACTGCTAGAATAAACCAGGAACTTCATAAGGATGCACTGTTTCTAGCTATTGATGTCTATCATAACAGTCTTACCTTTGTCTAATTTTTTTCAATGTTGAGGGAAAGAAACTAATGAACGAGAAAGGTTGTGTACCAGTTCTTCCTTGACCTCTCTAGCTAGATTTTTGTATGTGTCCTTATGAAACCAGGAGGCAGAAACAGAATTTTTTCTTTCACACTCAGCATAATATGGATTTTTTTTTAAATCAAAAGCACAATTATTTTAACCAATACATGTGGCTTCAGACATTTACTGTACAATTAATTTCTACCTCTAAAATGTTCAAAGTTCACAAACCTGCAACACAACTGTCTGCTGAAATTCAGGAATGAAAAAAATCAGTGTTGCTCAGTGACAACTTGATCCGGCATCAGGTATTCATGTTTTATTTCTCCGTTGTAGTCTCCACAAAGTCCACAGGTATTGCCTTTCATCTTTGCAGAAGCTATAATCTGCATGAATAATGGCATGTTACCATAGAAGCTCAAGTGAATCTCCTTACAATAGAATTTGTCAAAGTAAAAAACAAGAGATTCTAGCACAAAAAACAGAGTCTGACTTACCCTTAGTATGACACCATCATACGTCACACTTTCCAAGCCGAGTTCAGGAGCCTTGACAATAATAGTGGTGTTTTTTTTGGTAATTATAAAGCTTGCTGCAAAGAGAAGGGATAGCTTAGAATGGCTGGCTGTTTAGTACAAGAGTTTTCAACATGCACACAAACACTTACATGTAGCCATTGCATATTTCTATATGATTTTTGCTTCAGGATGGGTCAGATATGCAATCATGTTTCTATCAGGCCATTGGTTTCTTTCAAATTTTGTGATTCCAACTTGCCCCAGTTGCACTGTTACAAATATGCACATCCAGTTTGTGGGCAGGATATTCAACCAACCGAAAGGAGTTACCCTATAATTGATAAATATTCGCTTCTTTTCAAATCCACTTTGCTATGTTCTTATAACTTGGCAGACAGGCCAAACCACGTGAGGGTAGCCAATGGGTCTTCAACTCTTGGTGAGATAGGGGATTTGTCTATCCCAGCATGTGAAGTCTGGCCCTGGCAGATTGAGCAGAGGAGGCTGATCAACAGTCCAACACTCAAGAAGGCAGGCCCAGTAGGCACTGTGGAGCACTAAGAGCATAACAAGACACTTAGAAATCCTGGTCATCCACTGCAGCAGGAGTGGTCTCCAGCCGTAACGGTTCTCTGTGCCAAGGTCTCTTATGCCAAGAGAGTGGGACTGCCCCTGTGCAATGGCTCTTCCACTGAAAACTCCATCATGCCCAGGTTTCTGTTGTGTAATTCATTTTCAACTGCAACTCATCTGCAACTCATCTCAGTCAAAACCTAATTTGTTGAGCCCTGTGGCAATGGGGGAGTGGCTAAGCAACAGGGGGAGGCAACTGGTGGCCCTTGGACCAGTGGTCATTCATCACAGTACCCAGGGCAGCAGAGATGTCTGGCAGCATCTAGGGTGACTGGGCAGCCCTTCTAGGATAGCACTGCCCACCCTCACATGAGGGAGAGAGTTAGAAAAGGTACCCTAAACATTGCTTGCCCCACAACATCTACCTAGCTAACTGTGGCTGGCAGATCATCTCCTTAGGAGTCGAGCATCAAGAATAATGAATCAAAGAAAACTCATTTTCAGAGCCTGGAATGTATGCATCTTGCTGGATAGAGACAAGGTGTCAGGCCTGAAAGATGAACAGAACTCATAGCAGCTGAACTTCATTGTTATAGCACTGACAGTGAGACCAGACTGGCAGAAGAGCATTCATTACAGGAAGCAGTGAGTAGACATACGTTCTTTTGGAAAAGGAAACCACATACTGACAACTGGACTCATGGAGTAGGTTTTGCAATCAAAACTGCTCTGCTGAAGAACATCTCTACTCTACCCACTGGAATAAATGAATGCATTATGAAGTTCCGCTTTCCTCTCAACAAGTCCCGGTATATCACCATTGTCAGTGTCTATGCACCAACTCTCATGAGTCCAGAGGAAAATAAGGAAGATTTCTATGAGGACCTGGACCAGATTATTTGGACAACCCCTGCCAGCAATAAACTTGTCATTCTGGGCGATTTCAAAGCTAGGGTGGGGATCGACAGTGACAACTGGAACGAAGTCCTCAGGAGACTTAGGGTGGGAAAACTAAATAGCAATGGCCTGCTGCTTCTGAGCAAATGTGCTAAGCACAACCTGTGCATCACTAACACGATGATCAGACCTGCAAACAAGTACAAAACTACCTGGATGCATCCCAGGTCCAAACACTGGCACCTACTTGACTATGTCATAGTATGTCAGTGTAACCTTAAAGATGTCACCATCACCTGAGCCATGTGAGATGCTGAGTGCTGGACAGATCACAGGCTGGTCCAGTTGCTCCTCAACCTGCACATAGCCCCTTTACATTGTAAGCAACCAAGTACTGTCATAAAGTATTTCAACATTGGCAGACTGCAAATGTTCAACATTTCCAAGATGTACTTAATGAAAAACACTCCAGCAATTTACCACTTGTAGGAATCTGTTTTGAAAAGTGGACAAATTTAAAGATGTCATCATGCAGACTACAACAACTGTACTCGGACTGAAAACCTCCATCAAGACTGGTTTGATGAAAACCATGAGACCATTTCAGCAGCCCTCCAGGCCAAGAACAAGACCTATGTAGACTGGCAGAATGATCCATCATCTATCCCACAGAAAGACAAGTTTAAGCACCTATAGTCCAAAGTACAGATGGAACTGCAAGAAATGCAAGATGAGTGGTGGCAGAGAAAGGCTGAGCAGGTGGAATGGTATGCAGACATGCATGCCACCAGAGAGTTCTTCAGTGCCATAAAGTCAGTTTATGGTCCTAAATCAGGATGCTCCCCCCTGCTGTCATTTGATGGGTCAAGCCTACTCAGTAGGCTGTCCACTGATCCTGGTGTTTTACAGCAGATTCCTCAGCTGCTAGTCTTGGATGTCCTAGATTTTCCTCCCTCTACTGATAAGAAAGTGATCCTGCAGATGAACTCAAATAAAGCAATAGGACAGGATGGTATTTCTGAGATCTACAAAGCACTAGACCCAAATGCCTTACAGGCATTCCAAGACATCTTGAAAGACATTTGGTCCACAGATGAGATGCCTGATGACTTCCGTGACACCATCATTTTGGCTCTTTATAAAGATAAGGGAAGCAAATCAGACTGCAGAAACTACAGGGGTACCTCACTGCCCTTTGCCTGCATTCTCCTGAACCAACTTGTCACTGTCTTGGAAAGGAATCTCCCAGAGGCTCAGTGTGGTTTTCACCAGAACAGAATACAGCAGACAAGATATTTGCCATGAGGCAAGTTCAGAAGTGCATCAAGCAGAACAAGCCTCTTTACTCTGTCTTCATTGACCTGACAAAGGCATTTGACACTGGAAACAGGGAGGCTCTCAGGATCATCCTGAGACGTTACGGATGTCTGAGGAAAATCGTGAAATTGATTCAGCTACTCCATGATGGAATGATAAGACAGGATCTTTACAACAGTGATACATCAGCTGCATTTGCCATTTCCAATGGGGTAAAACAGGGTTGTGTGCTAGCCCCAGTCCTGTTCAATCTGTTCTTTGCTTGCATGTTGTCATGTGCTATCCAGGGTATGAAGGAAGGAGTGTACATCAGGTACCAATTGGACAGCTCTCTCTTTGACCTTCACCACTTGAATGCATGGATGAAGTGCCTCCATACAATCATCCAAGAAACCCTCTTTGTTGATGACTATGCACTCCTGGTGCACAAAGACAGTGATCTACAGTTGATGCTGAACACATTCTCAAATGCTGCTATAGTTTTTGGCCTGACTATCAGCCTGAACAAGGCTGAAGTACTTTATCAGCCCGTGTCAAATACCAACCCCACAAAACAAAAATTACTGTTGATGACCCCCAGCTGACAAATGTAAACAGCTTCAAATACTTGGGAAGCATCATCTTGAGTGC